TATATTACTCTGGCAAATAGGCGCCGTCATCCCTATTCAAAGCATGACGACTCATATTTATATGCCACGCTTCTAGGCAAAGTCTTTGACCATAGCGATTGTTTGTGGTAATTACTTTAGAGTTTTCCCACGCAATCTCGTGTTTTTTTAAAATTTTTTTGTTGTTTTTTTTAAATTAATATTTAATTTCAGGAAGCTCTCTCAAAAAGTGATTTTCAGAAAGGTCCTGAACTAAATAAACCATTATACAAGGAAGACATGCATATGAAAATATTAAAAAATTATACGAGGGAAAGTTAAAAGATTGCTAAAAAAGTTTCTCTTAAATGTAGAAATACTAGCAGATAGTTTTATCTTTCTGTCCAAGTTGTTCCAGTCTGTTATGGCCTGATAAGCGAGTCTTTGCTTTCCCCAATTCCTTGACACTTTAGGTGGCCTTAAATTGTCCTTATATCGCGTATTGTATAGTTGTGTATTTCTCTGTTCGCTAGAAGTTCAAATCCATGTGAAGTATGATTATTTATGATACAATCTGCGTTGTTCAAGAGTGGTCCAGCCTAAAGTGTCTAACGCGTCTGTTGCCGATGAAAAATATGGTCTATCTAAAACAATCTTGGCGGCTTTGTTCTGGAGTATCTGAAGATTGTTCATTAACACTGTATTATTTTTGTCTCCCCATATAACATCCGCATAGTCAAAGATTGGGAGTACGAGACTGTTATAAAAAAGAATTCGTGCATTAAATGGTAGCAGGTGTTTAATCCTGCGAAGTAGACCTAGGCGTTGATTGACTTTAGCGGGAATGCGATCTATATGTTCTGACCAGGTGAAGTTTGCTGTGATGGTCACTCCTAAGTACTTGAAATTGCTGGCGTTGGAGACTTCAGTATTGTTGACAGAGACAGATATCGAAGATATATTACATAACTTCCTATCACTGCCTATAATCATTGATCGAGTTTTATTTAAATTCAGTGTCAACTTATTCTCATTTAACCAAATCGCTAACTTGGGTAAATCTTCATTAAGATTTTTTTCAAGATCATTGACATCTGAGGCGCAGCAATATAAGACTGTGTCGTCGGCATACAAGGAAACATTGCATTTATTGGTAATACTGGGCAGATCGTTTATGTACACGAGAAAGAGAAGTGGGCCC